CTTCCTCTTCTTCTTTTCCTCCTTCTTCTTCCGCCGCCGCCGCCGCCGCCGCCGCCGCTGCTGCTGCTGCTGCTGTAGCTGCTGTTACGACTGCTTCTTCTTGTTCGTCGAACGTCGGACAGAAGAATGACTCGAGTCCTCGGGTGACCAGGTGGTCCTCAGCTCGCGTGTACACACCCGAGTGCTTTCGACTTTTTCACTCGCTTCGTATTCGCTCCCGATCATCTCAACGTCGAATCGAATACGACTCTCGCCCAGATTAAGTAAACCCGATCTTCTCTCTTCTCTACTCACTGCTCGCGAACGACGAGAAATAAAAATGTAATGAAGACACTCGACATGTGATGACTTTTTAACGTCTCTATTGATTTACACATGACTCAAAGCTTGTGAAGAGATTCAAATGCAAATCAGTATTAATGTTATTCATATAAAAAGATGTCTGTTTAAGTTCCACCGTGCGCGCAGATGATGTATCGAATAGATTCTGTACTTTAAAGAATATTTTTGATCTCCCTTGTATCATTAAGTGTGTTAGTTCTCACTACCAAAGTTGTAAAAAATGTTTTGTTGACTTGTGTGATCGTAAAAACGGTCATATCGGAGGAACCGGGCAGAGGATAGGCGGGGACCGTAACCTTTCGTTTTGACGCCTGAACGGATTCTGTTGAGCCGAGCTCGCACAAGATATTTCCAATATCGTAAAACCATTAATTACCAGGTGGACCCGGTGTTGGTGTATACCGGCTCGCCTCCCGAACCTTCTCTCAACCTCCCGACTCGGTGTCGGACCGACTACTTAGGTGGCCGTCGCTGCCCGGATGATGTATTTCGGTGTTTTTGCTCGACATTAATAATAACGTCTCTCTCCCGGGGTCCCGACTTGATTCTCTCCCGAGAGGATCTCTTTCCCTTTTCTGGTGCACCACCGATCACGTTTTCCGTTCTCGTGACTCGTCATTCCATTGATTAATCGGTATGGGAGAAGTATTTCTAGAGATAACAATCTTCCTATGTTCAATGTATGTTTTCATCAGTTTTTCATAATACTATCTACCTAGACTGGCAGATGATACAACGTTCAAACGAATAGAGAGCCGGATCGATACTGGAAGTCTGAACGAAGATGCGTTAAGAGAGAGACGGTTTCGCGTAGGAAGATAAAACTAGATAGGATAGGAATCTGGTTGTCAATGAACGCTTCGGAAACACGGTGTACCTACGGAGAAATCGCGATCTCGTGCTTTCGTTCCCACAGTCGACGGGGACGCAGATTCCTAAGGAGATTCCCTTTGCTCGTTCCGCGGAAGGAACGGGCAAAGACGACCACGGGAGAGGAGAGGAGAGGAAAGTAAAAGAGAGAGGTGTGTGCGCGCTCGCGCGCGCGCGCGAGCCAATTCGGGGACCAGGGAAAGGAGAGTATCAGTGGGGCCTTATAACACGCCAAAACACCGATAACTCGACCGTGTGGTCCCGAACGTCAGCCGATATTCTTTCCCACGAACGGGCCCTCGGAAAGGACGACCGAGATCCGAGACCCGCCAAAAGGGATTCCTGCCATTCCGGCAGCCTTATGCTCCGGCGAACGCGTCCGCGGTCCACCTTCCTACCACTCGCAAAAACGATAAATTAGTTGATTTACTCGACCGTTTTTTATCGAGAATAATTTCTACCGAGGATGAGACCGAGGACGGGAGACGGAGATTAGGGCAATAGGTAGCACGCCACAGTTCTTCTCCCCTTCTTCTATCTCTCTCTTCCACTCCTTCTGCCTCCTAATATTTTCCTGGTGTTCCTCTTCCGCGGTCACTTTAACCTTTTCACACGGTTTGGTTAGTTACCTTAAAATCATCGACTTAGGATTCCTGACTATCAGATACATCTTTTTCACCTTCGCATAAGATTTTCTTATTTCGAAGCTTTTAATTTATTTATGTAAAGTACGTACTAATAATCTACAGTTTTTTCTTTGCTAATAAAATGTGATTCGAATTAATGCCGGAATCTGTTCAACTAAAAAGAAAAGGGAGTAGCTGTTAAGATTTGGAATACGTTTAATGCGCGCGTTTATGGCTCGGGACAAGTCCTGAAAAAAGATGCCGAATTGGCAAAAGTTCCGAAGCCCAGAGTCGGAGTCAGAATCCTCTCACGGTATACTCGCGAGAGGATTCGTCTTCTTCGAGCTGGGCCAGCATCTGAGTCTCATTATGCCCGACGAATACGAAATTCAGACCACGAGGTTGACAATCGGGGGCCCCTGAGAGACAGGCGCTCGTCGTCACTTCGTGAAACAAGAGGGGCCGCATCAGGGATGCCACGCGCGTGTGATCGGCCACGACGCGCCGCGTGCCGTTTTGCCCGCCTTCCACTGGCCCCGATTTTATCGTTCCCAACCCGACTTCTCCTAACCCTTAAAAGTTTCCTTCGTTTGTTTCGCCTCTATCCAGACACCTCGCGCCGAAACCTCATTTTTTCCCTTCCTTATTAATCGGGACAATCTTAAATTTTCAATTATGAAATGTATTAGACTTTGCAAACATTTTGTGTTATAAAAAAATGGATATTATGCTATAATTTATCTGACGAGAGCATTATATCTGATCGTATCACGAAACAATGTAACAAAGTATGCCGCACGTAATTGAGGATCGATGATCGCACGAGATAGAGAACTCTTCGAAGCGACTATTATCAATTCCATGCCTCAAGTATTATTTGTAATTTGCAATATTTGCATGAATAAATGACACTGTGCAGAATCCTTCAGCCGTGTTTTTTCCTCGAACAAAACTTTGTCCGATTTTGGTGACAAGCACGCCCTCATAAAAGAGACAATGTATAATCCTGTGAAAAATCTGACACGAATATTGCTGAAAATAAAAAGATTGGCACGCGGCACGGCTGAGATCCCTGGGAGATCCAGTTTAGGGTTGAGCTCCGGGATCCCTTGAAAGATTCCGGAGAGCGGAACGAGCGACGCACGCGTGACGGTATGTGTAATAATAGTAAAACTGAATGAATCCTGCCTTCGTCCGGGTATACATATTTCTGTGAGGTTTCCGTGGATGCTGGCGTGACGAGGGGAGAAGGAGGCTACGCAGCACGTATGTATATGTGCATAGAGTATAGAGGAAGAGAAAGATAGAGAGTGGCAGAGAACGGGAACGGGAACGGGAACGGGTAAAAAGGCTTGCTGGGCGAAGGAGGGCGGTCGCGGCTGCCGGTGCTCGAGTGACCATGATGGAGACGAGGGGGTGGTCGGTTGGAGATCAAAGGGGCCGCCGTGAGAAGTGGCCCGGCTGCTCGAGATTCTTGTCTGCCGGGACGTTGGGAGCCCCAGGACTCGTGCTCGCTAAGAATTTGTTTTAGTATCGCGACGAAACCTACCCCCTTCCTGGTGCCACCTAATTCCATCGCGCGCAATCACGTCGCTAGACCCATTTCAGTGTGCTCACCACGAGTGAGTAATCCGTTTACACCGCCCAACATTTTCATCAGCATCATTTCACGTTACTGTTTCATCAACGATATAGAAAATTACAAATTTTACGCCCTCACCCTGCAATAGAATTAAACGTTCACTATCTATTCATGCATCGTTGCGAGAAATTGGAGAGTATACTCTAAGCACGCGGTATTACACGTCACTTGCAAACAAGATAGATATTGTATATAAAAAGATTCGAAACGCTGGTGTTGAGTAACTGTCTCAAGGCATTACACGAGTCGCGAATCAATGGGAATTCTTCAGATAAAAGCGTTATTGTATCAGCGAACGCGTGACCGTGCTTAGATCGCGAGTGGATCACTCGATGAACGAGCATCGAACGTTCGATCGTGGTCGATCTCACGGAATGCGCTTACAAGTGGAAATACCGATCGTTAGGAAGGAACAGGAACAGAAAAGGGACCGAGGAGGTAGTTGGGGGCCCAGTAGTGTCGGAACCATTAGCGCGGATGCCTGTTCGTATGCGGTCAGAATCCTTTTATCCTGTACAGAGATTCCTGCGGGATTCCTTCGTTCGTTATCATCGCGTGCAGCGCGCGGCCATGGGGAAACGAAACAAGATAGAAACGTAGGAAGAAGAAGAGAACGCGATGGGAAACGGCCGCGGGGGAGGAGAAGGAGGTGAAGGTGTGGGATGAGGAAAGAGTCGAGAGGAAGGGGTGAAGAGTCGAACGAACCAGTCCTCTCTCCCTTTCTCTCCCTCGGTAGGATACGGGCCTCCCACGATATGTATTCGCCCGGTGAGGAGTTATGAAGTCGTCCAGCTGGGGAACCAGTCGGCTATACTTCGCGGTGTCCAGGCTCGGCCAACACCACCGTAGTTGTAGTTTCATTTTCGCCTGACACTTTGATTCCACTCGTGAGGGCGACGAAATGACGAACAGTATTTCCGTCCTCTCAATTCTCATCCCTCTTCCGGCTGTCAATGTAATAAGATACTTGGACGATCAGATGGATATATAAAAACGTCATATCTGTTTCATAATTCGGCTTCGAAAATGATGGGAAAGGCAGGAAATTATAATAATCAGTTTTTCAACTCTGTCATGATCGTTTTATTTCCACTTCATATTCATCCATTCTGTATAAGTTACAAAGGGTCGAGTAAAAAAAAAAAGAGAGAGGAAGAGTGTTCATTGTGCGTAGAAATAACGTAAATCACCGTTCTCCTGCTCGGGGAACGAGTCCGGGCGAGAATCTTAACACTGGGCTTAATGGTTCCTCTAATCCTACGGGATAGCCGCGAGCCGAAAGCAACGTCTTTAATGGGGGCTAAAAGAAGGCGTGTAGAAAAATAATTTACTTACTCGCTCCTCGAGGAACTTCGGTCTCGGCGGTGTCCGATTTTTATTTACAAACATCGGCAAACACGATTAATCAAAAATATATGTATATTTATACATTTACATTGTAAATTTATATAATATTTATATTTATCTATAACTATCATCTATGCAGGTATATACAAGTACGCGATCCTTCGGGATCGGAATAAATAACGAATTTAAAAACGAATCTCACAAGGTAGTGCCCCTCCTCCCCCCACCCTCCCTCTCGTCAGAGGGTGGCGAGATTTTAAAGCGAAATGGAAAACGAAGAGGGAATGGATGATTATGTACAAATTTAGATTTAGACTCGTTTTATACCTAAGCTTACGATCGCGACACGACAAACAATGTTTCTCACAGTCTCAGTCTTTAGTACGCGTGTCCGTGGAACGTCGTAATAAATACAGGGTTTCGATCGCCTCGCGTAATACTGGGAAATAGGGAGCAATCCCCTAAAAAGGAGTGTTTCGTCGAAATTCGGTTTTGAACCTGAAATTGAAACCGAACGCGAAATTGCGATGGGATCTTTTGAACCCACCTTGTCTTGTAAATCGTGACTGTTCGAAGTCTGTTCTCAGAGTCCGCCTAGTGTTCGTATTTCCAGTCAGCAGTTGCCTGAGTTTTTAATTAGAACTATAAGTCCGGGATAGAAAACAATCGTTAAATTTACAGCTGTTCTAACAGTAAGGTTAACATCCAGAATTCGTGAACACTTTAAACAGCGATAAGAACTACGGAAACGTCCTTCTCCAGGAAGGAAGTATCTAGTATCTAGAGAACGAAAGATAATGAATAGAGAGCGGCCTACAGACACGTGTGTATCGTCTTCTTGATTCTACAGAGTTGGCATTTAACTTCGCAGCACCAGTGGAACGTGCATGCACATCTTTCGACGACAGTCACCTCCTGGGTCTTGTACCCTCTTCCGCAGCACATCAGGTCGCAGCCGTCGACGCCGATGCTCGTGTCGTTGCACTGTCTACCGTGAGTGCCGAGGATTCCCAGTTTCGGGTTCTTCTCGCAGAACGGCGGCGACGGTTCCAAATAGACTAGGTCTTTCGGACCCGGTGGCTTATGTTCCGGGTTGTATGGCTTCAGCTGGAAATTGTACCGGTGCCGACGACCCAGACCTTCGCGGTGGCCGTGCACTGAGTTGCTCGCAGAGTTGCTCACGATCACGTTCCCGTTACCCCGGACACGATCCGAATTGCTCACCATCACCCTGGAAGCGCCGTCGAAACGGTCTTTCAGATTGTCGCCGACCACGCGGAAATTCGGCAACCTCATCCAGCAGGTCTTCACCGTGCAGGAACCGGACATACCGTGGCACTTGCATTCCTGTCGCATCTCCGACGACACGTGCTGTAACAAATATGAACAAAAGTTTGCCTTGATTCACTCATTCCCCTTCTTCCAAGAGATTTTATTTGAAAGCCCATACAATTAATCAAATCAATCTAGTGAAATATCTTATATTAGCGATGGAATTCCATTCTACCAACTACGATTCCAAGCGAGATAAACAGTACAAATTTGGATTGAATATAAGAAAACAATAATTAAACAAAATTTCGTAAAATGACACTCACCGCTCTACCAGCTTCGTTGTTGTGCAAATTCATCTTCTCTCGAAGATTTCGGCCTCGTTCCCCAGTGTCGACGAATTCGCGGGAGAACTTAAACCCGTAACCGATATTGTCCGAACAGCCACCCCATTCCCAGTCACCGACCGCGGATGGTGGCCGCGATTGGTGGGTGTAGTCGCAGGAACACGACTGGATGCTGCCCTCGCTGCACGCTCTCGCGATACTGTGAGTCACAGCCGCGCTCGTGATGGCGTAGATGAAGGCGGTCTCTCGACAACCTGTAACCATTGCACGCGACACTGTTACATATGTTACTACTCAGAGATCGATCGGCCGTCTGACGAGTTCATTTTCTTTACCGAACAATTGTTGCGTCCGAGCTTCGCTTACGGTTATGACGCGTTTTTAATTCAACACCTTTTTCACTACGAATATCGCGAGGCAAGTGTCTGTCACTAAGTGCAGTCACTGATTTCAAATTAATTGAACACGCAAAAGTGGATAAGAATATTTTGAAAAATCTGTTAAAAGAATAGATATAGAAAATAAGATGTATGAACAGTCCTCGTGATTTTGAAAATCAAAGTATAAAGCGTATCATCCTTTCGGGACAAAACTTATGCGACTTGCGTTTAACGTGGGAGGACAAGGGCGATGACGTCAGAAGGGAACGTCTCAATCCTTCGCGAGGACTACCTGAGCACGCGAGATCCTCTCCGCGCAGGTGTGGAAGGAACCCACGATGCCGTAGGCCAGGGAGAGGGACGTGGCGCGGTGTAACGTTCCCGTGGAAGAGGAGAGACGAAAAGAACGGCACGACGTGCCGGAGAGAACGGGAAGCAAAGAGGGAAGACGACCTTAACACTGAGTGGGCTGACCCGAGAGCCACCTCGACCTTATCTGCATAAGGCGCAGGTGCCTGCCGGCACCTTTAAGACCAGCCGACCATGCAATACAAGAGATAGACATATACGTGAGATGTACATGTATGTATATGTATCGCAAGAATAACTCATAAAGAAAAGGCTCGGATCATTTTGCAAATTGCCGTCTTTACGATCAAACGAATATACGTATAATGCATTATGGCGTGTTGCATGGTCGTCTCAGAATAATCTGTCCATATCGCAAGTCAATTGATTGTTTAGGCTTAGGATTCACATTATCATTCCTCTGACGGTTTACTCTCGGTTTGTTCCATCGTTTACTTATGTACATGTAACACGTGTGCAAACGTAAATACGTATAATTTAAAGAACTGAGAACGGACCGTGAGTGGTTGACAGTCTGTTATAACATTAAAACTACATACTTGCATTTTCTCCAGTGATATATGAATAAGTATGTGTACATAATTGTACAAAAAGTCATTCAATCAAAATCGTTTAGTTGGAAAGTTTATTATAATAGAGGAATACAAAAGAAAGTACTACTGTGCATTAGAAGTAATAGAAGCATTAAGCCACTTGAGAAAGTTTCTATGTAATGAAGAAGTAAGGTAGGGTCTACGTTTAAGTGCACACTGAGAAACGGAGTCAAAATGAGACGTCAAACCGTCCAGTAGTCCCTAATGGAAAAAGAAACCGGGGAGATAATCGACCGCGTGAAATTTCGAAGGTAGATCCGCATTCGTCACGAGCGTTTTTCGCGCACGTCCGCGTCTCACGCGCTCTACTGGGCGACGAGTCAAAAAAGGGGAGAAAGAGAGGCCTCACGTAGATAAGTAAGAATGGAGAGAAAAGAAAAGAAGCAAGAAACGATTTTCCCTAATCCCCGAATCGAAGGCGAACACCGGAGGCTAGAACGGAGGTCGACGGAAGCGAGGTCCCTTTCCAGCCTCCAGGTAAACTCGACTGCTCCAAGTGGAAACGCAAGATTTACGTCGTTCCACCGCGTTATCCCCGAGTTGCGCATCCCCGAAATTTCATCGGTTCCAGATATTATTTCTCATCATCTCGGACTGGCATGACCGAGAGGATTACACGGCCGGTGGGAGGTTTTTCTCGTGAAAACGTTTCCCCCAATGCTATGCACGCGATGAAGTCATCGCGATACTCGGAACCTTCTATCCGGTCAGAGAACGAGGACTTATGGAACGTATGAGTAGGAGTACATACGAATAGCACGCGATCGTTTTCGCCCAAGATTTTACGATAGTTAAATAACCGGATGGCGGAGATAAGGGTCCGAGCCTAAGGAAAACTGCAAGTATGGCTTTTTTTTTTAAGGCGAGGAATCGTTATCGAGGTGAACAGGACAAACGATAATCCGAAAGCGTGTTGTTTGTTCGCCGCGGCGCGGACGTTCGGCGCGCGATAAACGGTTTGACGTTCGCTTTATCGAGCTGTGCAAATAGCGCGAGCAAGGTGGAAGGCTCGGCTCTCGTTGCCGCAAGGCAAACAGTCGCATAGTTGGAAAGTCCTGGCTCGTTTGCGCTCCGGATCACCGGCACGGTGCGGTGCGGCACATACCTGTTCGCCCGAGAAAAAACCTTAATCGCGAGACCTTAATAGTGATCGAGATTTGAAAGGCGAGCGAGGTTTTACGGCGGACGTTCTCTTGATTGAAATTCAATGGATGATAGCATCGCTGGAAATGATTGCCTAAAAAAATTTGTTACGTCCAACCAAATCTTATGTGTATTATTAACAAAATACAGATTAATTAAAAAGTTCTGCTCTCGCAATGAATGTTTTTCTATTTGCGAGCGATTTTATTAGGATTTCTATTAGGATGAAGACATAGTATAATAATGTTAATAAAACGAATAGGTATTCGTATGACACCTTTATTCGCTGATATCCTCAACGGCGTTACCAGATGACGATGCTTCGAAGAAATCACGAACGTCAATGCGTCCGCGCCGTGGATCGGTCCACGAAAAACTGCATCGACCGGCTTGCATCGGTTGAATGCAAAAGTGCAGAAAGGAGAAGCGAAGAGGAGGGGTGCGAAAACGCGACCGCCATATAGGCGTCGTGTATCGCGGGAACTCGCCGTTGCTTCTGCGAGCAAGTGGAAGCAAACAAGATGTAAAAATCACGATGGTACCGATGGCCCGACCAGGGGAGGAGGAATGGTCAGGCAGGACCCATTGGCTCGCGGCTCACGTTTTCGCAAGAAATCGTGGCGTGCCGTCAACACATGTAGCCCATCATAGGCCACGATTTATGGCGGCGTAACGCCGTCGCAAAAACTCGACGACGTGTCTCCGTATAAGACGCGACGCTCGCGCGCCACACCGTTTCGATATCGATCTGCGAATTTCCCCTGCAAATGGCCTCCAGATCCACGAGTATCGTCCATTAATTCATGTTTTGTATACGTACATATGTACGCAATCTATTGCAAAATTGAATACTTGTTAAAATTAAAAAACTTAGCAGATGACATCAATATGAACCTTCGATATCTTGTAAAAACTCTACTTTATTTGACTCACAAAACAGAGAGGAAATTACTCGAAGTGAGAGTGAATTACATTTGTGAAGAGATTACCGTTGGCTCCCATGAACTGGAGGAAAAACGCGAGGCACGGAGGTCCAATCGCGGGATTTGCAGTTTACAAAGCAATTAGGTGGAACTCGGTTCGGTATCCACGCCAGACCAACACCTCGGAACGATGCGCGCCTCGGGGAAAAGGAGAGGGAAGAAGGAGATGAGAAACCGAGGGAAAATAAGAGAGAGGAAGACGGCCAAGGGTAGACACCGATGCGGTAGGTGGCTCTTGGCGGCGAAATGATTACAGGCCGCGAACCTACTCACTACCAGCTATAATATCGAGTACAAACACCTTCAAAAGTATCGAAGTCTTTCCGGATTTTTGGGAGAGTCGTATTCTGAATTTTCGAGTTCAAATTGTTTTTATATAAAAAATTAAGTTTTCCTGTATTATTATTTCCTTTCTAAATTCTCTGACAGTTTAACAATTACAGAACTGAGAGATTTTCGGTAGATCCATATATTATATAATGTGTATTGTAGAAATTCGAACTTGTAAGTCAAATTGGATTGAAATTCTGTCTGAGTGTCTGTGACTTAACGTCCGTTGCCAATGTGTCGGCGAAATATCGTGCACAGCTGACAAAAAATGTGTAAAGGGAGAAGTTGTAATTATCGGGTGTAATCGTGCAACCCTCTGCCATAATCCGAGAACGACCGTTTAGGTTCGCGACGACCAGTCTGCGCGTCAGGTCCCCTCCTCGATCTCCAAATAGGTACAAGTAAAGTACGCGCGAGCATTACGGATCGGCGATAGCGATCTGCGTTTCCCCTGCACACGAACAGTCCCGACTAGATCTAATCTCGTAGATCGGTTCGGAAGACAAAAGATACGAGTCGGTTGCGAGGTAAAGAGAGATGGGGTCACGGAGAAACTGGTCCTTCCTGGTCGGGCACGATCCGCAAACGGGTTAAAGGTCACGACCCTTTTCATAGAGTTCCTGTCGAGGAATGTCTCGATTCGATGGGAAATAAGCACACGTTTTTCATTTGTAATACGACCTCGTGCGTTTTTCAATCCTTCAATACTCGTCACTTTCATTACAACAACTAGAACATCTATTGAATTAGTTTTAAACATTGTTGCAAAGTTGCTTGTTTAAAGAACACGTCGGATCCGTCAGATTGTCATTAGTCGAGCGGTAGTTGGAGAACGCAAAGCTAGCGCCGAAAGGATCGCGAGGAACCTCGTGAGAGCAACGATCTCTGCCATCTCCGCTATTTTGTATCCCGATGCTTCTTTCTTTTCTTTTTCTTTTCACAGTTTTACCAGCGCGATAAGTGGCCATATGGGGACACACTGGCCTGGCAATGGGGCGGTGGCGGTCCAAGCGAAAAAGCTCGGCTTACAATCGCCACGAGGAGATCTAAAAGAGCCGCAGGGGAGCCAGAACTGGTACGTGAAGGTCCATTATCAGGTTGCAAAACATACATCTGGCCGGTGAGGGCACGTGCCCGTGGGCCTTCGGACCAAGGGCACGCCCCTTTTAATCCCCTCGCTCCTCTCCTTCTCCCCAATCCTCCCTTATCCCCTACTCTATATACATCCGTTTCTATTACAACCCTCGGTCGTGTCGCGTCGTCCTGCGACACCCTGTCGTCCTCGACTGTCGTCCTCCGGTCCCCTTGTCAAATGGGTACGCAACATTTGTAGTAGCGCGGTTTGAATACAATTCATCCTCTTGTAATTATTTATCCCTTAGACTTTAAATCTGACAGAAAAATAATGCAATTTGTAAATTAATTCTAATCCGTCGATTTATGAAATCGGAGCTCCGATTTGCTCATTCATTCAAACATTTGAAAAAAGAAATAGCTTTTAATTATTCCGAGCTGCGCAAAGCTCTTAACCCGATTTACCGGAGATAAAGATTTTTCATGGTTTCGGATTTATGATTTTTAACTCGCGCATCCGATGAAGTAAATACTCAATCCTATCGACAGAGGGAAGGGCTCGGCCGTCGCGTGGTCGTCTTAGTGACCGATTTACTCCTCGACAAATTATCGCGTACAACTAACTAACCGTAATCTAATTATTTGTGTACCTTAATTACACGGCGAAAGGGTCAGCCTTTCCTAACGGTGCTTCACGAATCGATCGGCTAACGATATTACCGCGTTGAAACCCGGCCGCTTTGTATAGCTTATTCGGTGATCACCTCGTTTATCGATGACGTATCATGATCGACCAGAGACAACGGCCTCTGTCGATGTACGATGATTACACAGCACAGACGATGCTCGAGCATTGCCAGTGATTACTACTAGTGTTTTGTATGTATCGTGAAACAAGCCAGATATGCAACAAGCAGTTGAGAAATGAGAGACAATTACAAATTCGAGCCTCGTTAAACGTTAAATAATTTCTGATAGATACATTAATTTATACCACACTAACTTTCATTAAGAATAAATATTTATACTAAAATTATTTATATTGAAACTACTTATACTACTTAAATTATTCATACTAGAATTAGAAAAGATACGTGTATATAATTTGGATTAAAATCTGAATTATCAGATGCTAATATGGATTTCCTATGCGTAACTCGTTTATAATTTTACTAGTAATCAATTAATGTAGATCAATCGCTAACCAGCCGCGGTAAAGTTCGAATTTGCGATTTCGAGGACCTCGCGTTTCTTTCAGCTTCCCATCTCATTGGCTACTTTTTATTTTTTGAAACTACGTCTTCTGTAAATCTCTATCGGGAATACCGGTTGTCAGAGACGACTACGGACAATGGGCCGTTTTTTGGAACGTGGAACGAGTCCACCTTATGGTCCGTTATGTATATGTATATACGTGCCTGTTTTATCGCGAATCTCGATTCTTCTCGACTAGTCTCGGAATAGCTGGATCAACGAAAAAAGATTGGCCTTCGCAGAAATGTTAGCCAACTCTACAGTTGATTGCAAATTTCGACAAAGATAAGTTTACGTTCAAAAGTAATTGGAATACGAGTTTCACCGTTGAATTGATTTATCTTCGATTAAAAACGATCGAGAGAATCGTAAGACGTTAGGTAATTGTATAATTAAGATGTCAGGATAATCGTTTGATGTGATCGTGTTGAATGGAAAAATTGAGAAGGATCGTTGTGTATTTGTGTTAAACCGAAGAATCGAGAATACAAATTGAAATGTCGATAGTATGATTGCCGCTGTGAGCGTAATATGAACGTGTGATGAAAACTGCGAACGTGACTCTGGGAAATCGATGTATGCGCACCTAACTCATTGTATTTTTCCCTGCATACACATCGTTTGCCATATGCTGTTAACTATGACGCGTACTTGTCTATACTTATTTGGAGCCAAAATCGAATGAGTTAGGTATACATAAATACGATCGTATAAGTGAGAGTGAACATCAGCATAAGAGGTTCCTCGTTAAAACTAACATAGTTGCACTGAGATATTTACCGACACTTTATCAAGTTACTGTTAATTACTTATGAGTTTGTATAATTGACAATACTTATCTTTCAATAGAATTGTCCACTGCCTATACGTACATAATTAACAGAATCGTAAAAAGAAAATGAGAACAGCCGCAGAATCCCGTGGCTGGTGTAAAGATAAAAAGTGGTTGCATTCAGGCAAGCAGAGAGAAAGGAGAATTCGCGTGCTCACCTCTGTCGACGATCTTTCCGAACAGATTTTTCCCACGGAGAAAATTCTTGGTAGAACAGTTCCATCTCCGAGTACGAAACTGATGCTGGCACTCCGCAATCGCTTGGTTCGCACCCCTGGCCACGGCCATCAGTACCCCCGGGTTTTCTCTGGCCAGTCTACGCTGCTTTCTCCTCAAGGTCGCGTACACTGTCGGGTCCATGTGAAGCGACGCCGGAGACATTGGTAAAAAATTGTTCGGCTCTCCCGCTTTGGCGATTCCCCTGCGAAGAAAAATTGCCCCGCTTTAGATTCCACGGATTATGCCTTCAAGTTCGTCCAGGGCGAGCCTCGTACGGGAGGGATAGACGAAGAGGGGACAATCTGATCGGGAGGAAGCCCTGTGATGTAGCAGGCGCCGCGCGAAAGACGCCCTTTCAAACAGGGATCGTGTTAACGAACAGTTTTGACAGCGAATGATTCTTGTGTCTTAAAAGCGTACCGCGTGGCGAAGACTGTTGCGTTTTCACGCGTAGCATCAAAGCAAACAGAGCTAAACTATATAGCTAAACTGTGAATCTCTTCGGACGTTTTACACTTTTTAATTACATTAATTCGCCTCGCATCTATTAAAAACATGTTACATTTTCATATCGTTGAAGAACAAAGATAATGTATTACGTGATATATCGTGATGATAGATACTGAAATCACGGATCGGTTCTTGCGTAATATCGAATCGTGTGAAATGGCTCGATCGTCGGTCGTGATCGCGTCATTGACATTTATCGTGCGTGCGCACGACGCTAATTTGGTTCACGCGTAAAAACGACGAAGGTGCGTTTAAAGCGGGAAGCGAGAGAGAGAGAGAGAGAGAGAGAGAGAGAGATGCGAGATACGAGAAAGAGCGAGAGGGAAGGATGGACGTAACGGAGAAGGAAAGAGAGACGAAGAGAAGGATTAGTTCGAAAGACGAAACTGGTTCAACAGTTTCGGTCAACGGTAGCCGCATATATATAAATCAAGCTGCCGCGCGAGTCCGCTGCCTGCGAAAGAATTCGCGTCTCGATCGATCGAGCGTCGCGCAGAAAAACGCTTTAAGAGCGCGCCTCTGCCCGCGTGTTCGTCCCTCCTTCGTGGGAAGAACGTGCAAACTTTAAGCGAATCGTCGCACGGAGCCACGAAACGGCATCGCCGGGCACAATCTTATTTCGTACGCGGAAGGAGCTGCGCTCGTTTACGATCGCTTGCAACGTTTGCTTATTTTTTCTGAGCCGAGGATCGGTAGCTGCGCTAGATTCAAAAAATAGCTCGCAACGGGAGCAGGGATCGGATCCATCGTCGCGGCGACTGATAAACAGCTAATCATCCGTCCCGTCGTGTCTACGTCAAGGGCCCGTTGTCAACGGGGTTCTTGACACCTAACAGAGACAAGAGCCCAACGGGAAGATAAAATACAACGCGAAAAACCGCAGCTGGGCTGCGACCGAGATCTCTCGTTGACAGTCTCCTCGGCTCGTGTTTAAATAAACCGAATTAACGATGCGCCCGCTCGTAAAAGCCAGTGGCCACGCGGGGCCAAGTTACGGAGCGAGTCGAAAAGTGCTTGGCTCCATTGGCGGCCGCTCGATATTTCAATTTTATTAACGCGGGAAGCGACACAGTCTAGGCTGATTGCGTGAAACAGCTTGTTTCTTTAAATTTATTTCCGACGTTTAAAGTAGTATCCGCGTATTCGATAAAACGCATTGATCAAGTCTCCTAAATTAGTATCTATCGATAGAAATGGTCTCCTTTCAAGCAATTCAATTTTTATTCTATCGGCTACACATGCCGCATTTCAGTACAAGAAGTAAGTGATTCCGTGGTACATAATTCGTCTTGTCAAACCGGTCGGTATTTGCGGCCGATGCAAGAATTTGGTAGGATCGATGGAATCCCGGGCGAAGCACGCGCGATAATTAACCAAAGAGACCGGATGCCGTGTGCGTGGCGTCACCGGTCAGTATTCGCGTCGTATAATCTCTTTTTGTCGATGTCGATGCGCAAAATCCGCGTCACGACGAATTCGCGGGTCTACGCGAGCGGACGAGCGAGCAAGCACGAGTTGGAACGTTTATACGATGCATTCGATAAACGATGTCCATAAATAAGCCGCGCTCTCCGGACCGGTTAGGATATATCTATTGCTTGTAATTTACGTCGGGCAGAAAGCTCAGGGACGATTCTCGACGATCCTGCCTTGCCCGGTTCCTGGCCCTTCTCATTCCTTTCGCTTTATCTCTCTTTCGTTCTATCTTTCTCCTTCGTAAACCTCATCCACGTGTTTTCTGCCAGCGGACACGCCACCACGAACGAAAATAATTTATCGGTTGGAGTGGGCTAATAACGATCCCCCGATGCCACGCGCTAACCAGTGACAAAAGTGTATATTAAATTTAGCGCGAATTATCGCGAATTAAGTTCCCTATAATTTTTGCCATTTTTACTAACTTTAATTGTCGCTGACTTACACAGAACTTGATTTAGCGATGTTACAATGAAATTTCAATATGTTATTTTTACGGTGTAACGATTAAGATGATTAAAGAAAATGATATTAGATTTTATTTTTTATGGTATGTACGGTTTCTAGGTACAAGTTTCACGTCGCGAGCACGTACCCTCGTGACTGCGTCGTGCAGAACGACAACGTTACGAATCAGGTTCGAATGTCACGATTCCGATTCGAAACGTCTTCGACTCGACGACGTCTTTTTCATTCAATCGATCGACTTCGCGTCTATCGAAATGCGCGATCAAAGCCGAAGGCTTCACAAATGGTTCACCTTCAATTGAAAGGCTAAAGTCAATTTGGATAGAACAATTAACAAAATTAAATTTCATAATTAATACCAATTAATATTAAAATAGTTGCTCGATCCAAATAACCTACCGACTTCTATAAACTGACTCTGTGTCAATATCTCGTATCTCTGATTAATGTTTCTGATTTCTAAGATTGAAACAGCCCACCCAAGATCGCTTGTCGCTTATTTCATACAACGTGATAACTATTACTCCGTTAGCAGCGAATACATTAGAAATTTGTCGGCGATATCTACGATGAAAACGAGCGACAGGTTTCAACAGCCGACGCGTATAGATACGTGTACAACATAAATCCACCGAAAAGTCAATTCGCCTTCCGCCGACAGAGGCAACGATAAATTACTGTCGGCTGTGAAATTCGAGGCAGGACTCTCGCGATCTCGTGTGCCCACGCTAAGTCCGACTCGTATTAGATTAATTAATTCGTAGGTAATAATTTCATTCTGGACGAACGTACGCTTTAAATCAACGCGGTTAAGAAAAATGGTCTCGATGGGGTGGCTGGGAGGGGGAGAACAAAAAGTGTAAAAGAGGGGGTAGTGCGGACTTGATTTATAGCCTGCACTTTATCGTTATGTGGATATTTCCGCGACTATCTCTTTCGGTTTGTTAAACGGGCGCAACGAACGCGCGCACGCAACCGACGCCGCGCAGCGCGTATTATTTATTACCCGGCTAATGAAGTTAGCCATTATCTAATATCCATCGAGCATTTTCTTGTTCCGACGACGCGAACGCGAGCCGGCTTGTGTTCTGTAACGAAAGCCGCTGAGAGAAATCAAGAGAAATCATTGACTGGATCGAAACGAATAAGTCGCAGCCTGTGATTAATGAATTAATAAGAAGGCGCGCGCGCACGCGTGTATCGTTGCCACCGCTAGCGGTAGTGCCTCTCAATAAAAGATACAAGACAGGTGTTAACGCGACTGTTGGTGCGATGCAATTAACCTGGAAAGGTAGCTACGACTAGCGCGCAAAAGTAGTCGATCTCCCGCTGAGACGTCAAAGCAAATTGAATCTTTTTAATGGAACGAAGCACGCACGATCGAGATCGATCATACATCATACAGCAGTCAGTCAGAAACTAAGCTGATTCAGTAACCATTTTTTTTTTTTTTTATAAACTTTCGCATATGATGAAATTTACTATCCAGTTCGGTTTCTGTATGATTCACAGTTGGATCTTAAATCAATTTTACTTACCACCACATCGATCCCCTGCCACGGTTCTTGTTCCTGGTGATTTCAGCGATGGACGCGTGGATCGCCACCGCCAGGGCGCCGATGATCACCCAAAGTCTCATTACTCTTCTCTTTTTAAATACGCGAACGAGCTTAACTTTTTCCGCCGTTCCTGTCTATCGATGTTTTTGTTCGAAACACCACGCACCAATTGTCCACTCACCGAGTCGTTAACATCACACGACGCTCGTCATAACCGGTGTCGCGCACATAATAATTATCTACAAGCGTTTGTCCACACTCGAGAACTTCAAATCATCGTCGCAGACATTGCACGTGATCAGATGAGGGAATCCCGTGACGGTAGGACGAAGGAGGCAGTAGCTTGTTGTCCTGCGCGGCCTGTGTCCAGATCGAAGCGTAACGCAGGAGTAGAGTGGACGACGCTAGCTGTCAAAGGTGGCAGTTCGATCGCAAGAACCGTAACGCTGACAGGCCGTTGAGTGACTGTAGTTGGCAGAGCGGGTCGTGCGACGGTCTCCGGTCCGAAACTCACCCCCCGAGGGATTTTTTTTTTTTTTCGAAGGGTGGGTGTCACCCTTCACCGGGTTCTCGCCGAATCAGAAGTGGTGGGAGAGGCACGAAGGATACCTGACAACCCTCCTTCGACGTTTTCCGTCGCTTCTACTGTTCCCGGTCAACGATGATGCCCCGGCGATAGGTAGTTCCAGTCAGTCAGGGAATCTCCGCTCCGATCTAGCTTACTCTCCTTGTCCGTCTCCTGTCGTTTCCTCTCGTGTCCCGTTCCGTATCTCCCGATCCCTCTTGGTCCCAGATACAGCGTCTAGCGTAACCTTCGTCGCGTGTCAACAAGGCGAGTGCACGCGCGAGATCGATCGTCCGATCGAACCGAACGTACGCGCAAGCGAGCAGCGAACGAGCGTCGACCCGCGGGAGTACGTACGCGCCAAGCCAAGGGGAGACTCGTCGTTTCCTTCTCTTTCGCTCGATCTCGGGGGGTACGGTACCGACCTGGAGAACCAATACCCTTCGACGGACAAGTATAGGCCTCGGCTAGCCGACTGCACGCGCTCCTCAGCGGAAGAGCCGATCTCTCTTCAGAGAGAGAACGAGACCTTCTCCCCTCTTCTCCACCCGAGAAGCTCCTCTCACGATCACCTCTCTCGCTTCTTCCCCTCCTGCAAAGGAACTTGCCTCTTCCTTCGGTGCCTTACGCCACGTTCTCTTCCTCCCTCGATTCTCTTCTCTTTCCTCGGCCTCTCTTCTCTGCTCTTTTCTTCACTTCACTTTTCTTCTCGTCTCTTCTCTTCCATTTTCTTTCTGTTCTCCGTTGCGGTCCACTTCCCCTCGATCACGGATCTGGACTCCCCCAACGCCGCTTCAATCTCGCTCCGCCTTCTCTCTTCTCGTCCAGCCTCTGCCCTTCTTCTTCCGTTCGATCTTTCCGTCCTCCCTAATCCTTTTTCACGAATTTTCTTCAATCGTCCTACGTCTTTCTAACTTTACTGAGTTGTTAACATTTTCTAGTCTTTCAAGAAATTATTGCGTTCGTATCAAACCCGATCAGAGAGCGCTGGAATTCTTTTTCAATAGGATACCTCTTCAGGAATCCCTTCAAAGCGTTCATTCATCAATTATAATCGAGCATAGTTTACATAAGTGATAGTAAATGGTAAATTACGTAAATGCTTAAATCTTAGCACTGATGTCAGTTGCACGAAGTTAGTAAATCGTGTAAAGGGGTTGTTTGACATCTATTCAGAGAATTCTAACAGAAGCACAGTCTTTCATATTCGGCAATTTCGCGTCTCTCGCAGACGAGCACGTGGCTCTCAAGGGGAAATAGCAGGCGGTCTTTATCAAGGCCACGCCTGTCAGGTTCCCCACTACGTTGTTCGTGGTTATCGCGCAAGGAACTTTTGTCGAAGTTCTCCCACTACTTGAAAACCTTGCCGGATATCACCCTTTCTCTCTCTCTCTCTCTCTTTTTCATCCTCCCCGCTCGGTTCAACGTCGCGACGCTCTCTCACTCTCGATTCTCCCCCGTCACAGAAGCGTCTCTCCTTTCTCCTCTTTTTTCATTCATCCTCTCGTTGTTCTTCGTCTTACCTGTGATCCTTTACATCGTCGCCTCGTGTCTGCTTCTATCTACCTTAGGTCCAGGCGTCGTCGCGAGAATGCATGAATCGAGAGGTGGAGATGCACATGCGTGTGTGGGAACGCACGGCTAGGGAATGCGGGAAAGGGCGGCGGGTTCCGTAGTTATCTTACTTATACATACAGCGAACTTTTTCTCATTCCGCTTTCACGTAGCGCGCAAGCTCTGATTCTTCCGCGTGGCTGTGAATCAGAAGCTTCCTAGATCGTAGATCACTATCTTGAAACCTAAGCCTCGGTTTCATAACAAGTTCCAGCTTATCCTTATTTCTTTTCCGAGCGATAAACGATAAGTTTAATTTACTGAATGTTTAGATTATCTTAAAAATGGTAGATTTCATATGCAGTCTCCTAGGGAAATTAAGGAAAAACTTCTACATTATGAAAAATGAAAACAGTTGTAAACATTTATGATAAAAATTTTCAAGGAATATAAGAAGGGAAACGTGTACAGATTTTCTCTAGACAAAACGCAGTACTTATTACAAGCATAGATTCTCTCGTCAATTTATTCTACGCAATGCAAGCTCGGCTATGCTTGTAATTCTGTTTTCGTGATGGGAAAACAAAAGTTTCGATAGTGGAAAGAAGGGAAAGAGGTACGCGGCGAGGAAGACGGTGACAAAAAAGGGCAATTTACGGGTAGGATAAAAAAATCGGAGCGACGAATATTCGGGAACCAGGTCAGCCTCTCGAAGGCACAGATCGCGGCGGCTGCTGTGACCGCGGATCCCGGAGAGTTACGGAGATTGATCGGCGTAAATCGTCGCGGCGACGAGAGCGCAATTACGTTTTTGTCGTTGCTCCGCGCCGCGCGTCTTCTCCGAGTCGAACGATGGAAACTCGGCGCGGAGGGAAAGGAGCGCCCGCGAGTTTGTCCCTACCGTCCCAGCAAAATCGCTGGCAATTATACCACGGGAATGTTCGTTCAGATCTCCGGAGCTCGCGAAACCTTTTCTCCTCCTCGGGTTCTTTCGCCGGTTGACTTAAAATTGATCGCTTGCCCGTGCGATAAAACCGGCGAGGAATCTCTGCTCGCGTTTCTTGATTTACTCAACTGCGTGACACGGGAACCGAGAACGTATTATTATAGCCACTCATTCACAGTCAATGATCTGTATATAATCTGCTATGTCAGAAGTCTATGGAAAGAACAAGTCGATTAAGAGATTCTAGTATAAAGACTTGAAGCTTTCTATTATTTCTTTTCAATATCCAGCACCGTTCAATGTGAATTTACATGTACAGGCAACCGATAAACTTATTGATTTAGATGCCTCTCGGTCGAGAGGGTATCTACGTTAAAAGCCACACGCCAGATTCGTTTTATTTTTACCTTGTTCCATCGTCGCTGCTTATTTTCGTCTAGATGCAGGGCACTCGATCATCGCCCTGGAAAAACAGGACCTCCGGCAGCACTCCAGTGGAACTCGCCGACATTAAGTTATTACCGTCGAGCCGACGCGGACAGTTCGTCACGCGATGCCTCGCTCTTGGCGATCCTACTCGCTAACAACTTATGCGTCCCATGAGCTGGACGCGATTATTTCGACGACTCTGAAGCTGCAGAAAAAACACGAGTTCAAGATCGTTTGCTGCAATTAAAGACGAATTAACTCTCTTATAATCACCATAGTTGAATCATGGCCCTCGTATTCCGTACTGTCTCAAATTAAAATTCGAATATTAATGTCATCCTTCCTCTTACTTATTCACGTTAATAGAGAAGGATATGATTGTATGTCGAAACAACTTAAACCGAAAGTGTGCCACTTTTTAACTGTTTTATACATACAGACACGTTTCGGTCCCTCGGTGAGAAGGCTTTGAGGGCGTAAAAAGGATCAGAAGCGACTTGATCTAACGCGTGGTGGCCCGGTGTTGATCGGGTCGAAACGGTGGGACGGCGAACTTAAAGAAGATGGTGGAAGAGGCGCGGCGAAGCGCAGCAGAGGGAGAGGTAGAACGGGCAAGGTGAGACGAGGCGAGAACGAGATAGCTCATAAATCTAAAGGCCCGTGTTCAGCAGGAAGGAGGCTGAATAGGTGTAAATGAAGTTGCGGCCTGTGGCCCGCCGCAAACTCGGCCGGACCACCCCGCATATTTTGTCTCCCGTGCGTGGCTCGGCCCCGAACTTCGTTCCCTTCCGTGCACACTAATTGTAAATGCGCGCGTGTTATGCACCTACCTTCGACTACTCGATAACAATGTTAGCCGGCTGCGACTATTAGTCCTTCCCTTTTTTTTATGTGGCCTGTTCGTGTCTTAAATGGAATTCGAAGAAAGTAGTATCTATTTGTTTGCAAGTTCTTGGTACCATTGTCAGTGCTGACAGGTGGCTGCGAGGATCATCGACGTCGGAGGCCACTCTCGAGCGGATATCTGAGGAAGGATACCGTGTCAGAAGGAACGGCTTTCGAAGGATGGATTAGCTTAATATAGGCTAACGTTCATCCTCATTAGTTAACCGTATATAAACTGGGCAACAAAGGGACCGGGAGCTTCCCTGGTGGACACGCTGGAAAGGGGATTCGTTTGTTTCGGATCCATTCCGTTTTCCTTTCCGGGTAAAATCGGCTTTCATCCTATTCTCTAGATTAGCCTCCTGCGAGTGCATGCGAATTACCTGCTCGTTTTGTCCGCGGTGCCACGAACTGGAAAAAAAAAGCCCTGTCCATGTTCTGCTCGTCCTCGGGCGAAAAAATTCGAAGGACGCGGCCAATCCGGTGAGCAGTCGGATTCCGAGCCCCAGTCGGGGATGAATGCAAAAACCCGGAGCGTCACCGGACACGAATCGGAATCGAACCCGGCTCACGATTCGGCGAAAGGCGCGCGCGTATACTCGTGTAGTCGGTTCGTGTTCCTCCGGCTCTTTCTCGGCTCGTTTTCGGTGTGCGTGACCGTCTACGACCACCCGGGACACCTACGTGGGGATTTCTGGGCGGGGTGCGAACGCGTCGGAGGACATCAAAGGACCCGCGAGAGGTAATTATTGTTTCTCGATGGTCGGTCAACTGGAACCATGAAGGCAGTGGCGCCTGCACGATAGGCGCTGCCATTCTCACCCTCTGCTTATCCTCTTCTTCTATCCGTGGCTGTTGAACAAGTCCCGATTCCCTTCTCTATCGTAACACTCAACTTTCTTCAGCTGAGGGACCGTTGGAAACGAACAACCGGGAGAGGAACCTGCTTTCCCGGACATTCCTACGGACACCCTTAATTAAGAGAATCCAGTTCGACTCACCGATTCTCTACGGTCTTCCCATCCCGTAATACGTGGCGTCACAGGCCAACCCTTCTTCTTAGA